ATTCTTATATATGTGGTATTTTAAAGCTGTTTGACCGGATAATTTTGCTGGTTTTGATTCAGAGGTAGTACAATGATTGTACAGTTTTTCCTATGTACATGAGTTTGTTTACAGAAAGATTTAAAATAATAGTGYAAAGCTCTTCAATAATTAGAGGTAGCTTTGGAACATATTGATTAGATTCTATTGGGTGCTCTTTTGTTTCGTTCAAGGCCTATAGAACTTAAACAAAARCTAAGTTAATCCTTAAAACACAAGTGAGAAAGCATTAATTGAAAGTGCAAACTATAGAAATTATAGCCACAACAAGCTTACAGTATGAAAATTACGCAAACTACCTGGCTACAGGATCGAGTTAACTGCATGGTTTTAAAAACTTTTGATTAAAAACGATTTCGAATTCAGTTGAAAATGAACATTTCAGTTTCCTGGATATATCCTAAACCGGAGTTTATAAGTTTGCGTAAAATGATATAAAAATCCATATCAGTGTTTTCTGAGATTCGGTCTCTTTTGAMTGTTTTATTATCAACGCAAAACTTTCAAAGCAAAATAAATGACAACGTTACGGAGATCAAGAGCTGGTTCAAAATCAACACGGAATCGAAGCGCGCGTTAATGACGTCACATGTGCCAAAATATCGCCGTGACGTCATAATCAATTTCTTTTGGTGTCGCGCGCTAGAAATATCTGCACTTCAAAAACATTTGAAGCAAACTCGCGTATGACCTAAGAGAAATTACTTATCACAAAATCGCTCAAAGCTGAGCAAACATGGTTGACAATTCSGAGAAAACACTGGAAATTCAAGCAAGATGTCGTGGTCCAGGGCCCGCTAAGTATCTTTTGCCCGGTTGCGTCGGGCAAATCAATCACGATTTGAGGAAAACTATCAATCCCGCATTCAGTTTYGGCCATCGAAGTCGCGAACTTGCAGACGGTTCTAGCCCCGGACCTAAGTACATGGTACCACCCGGCTATACGGAAAAAGGAAAGGACGGTTCACCGGCTTTTTCGTTGTACACCAGGGCAAAGGAAAGAAACAGAAATAACGTACCAGGACCAGGTTGGATACAAAAAACGTCGTTTAATAATATACTCGCGTCGAATGTTGCACTTTTTTGGCTTATAATCAAATGAAGAAAACTATGAATAATTTCTAATTTGAAATTGATCTTTAATTCCAATTCAATTGCAAAGTGCTTAATTATCAATTAGCTTAAAGTTTGTAACTGGATTTAAGACTTGATCAGGGATCAATTTAGGGATCATTTCGAGGATCAATATTTGAAGGATCAGATTTCTACATCTTGGGAATTTGAAGCTGTATAATGAGCTTATTATATCCTTTGTCACTAGCTACAGTGTTTTTAGTGTCAAACATATAGAGCACAACCCCCCTGTTTCCCTCTAGA